TGGCGAAAGCCGATTTCGGTGGTCATAATTTCGTGCTCCTCTCGGAGATCCGTATGAATCAATGCCTCGTCTAGGAGCTTCGTATGAATCAATGCCTCGTCTAGGAGGTGCGTATGGATCAACGCCTCTTCTGGAAAATCCGTATGGACCGATGCCTCCTCTCGGAGATCCATATGAATCAATGCCTCCTCTGGAAGATCCGTATGGATCAACGCCTCCTCTCAAGGACTCATATGGATCAACATAACCTCCTCTCGGAGATCCATATGAACTGACGCTTCCTCTCAGAGAATCGTATGGGTGAACGCCTTCTCCCATATATCCGTACGGATCTATACCTCCTCTCGAAGCTCCGTACAGACCAATGCCTCCTCTCGGCGATCGGTATGGACGAACGCCTGCTCCCGTGCCACTGCCAAGAAACGTTGAATCTGTTAAAGCATTACGGATATGAACAAATCACTAATATACCATATCATGATCATTTGAACAAATATTTCACTGCTTATTGAGGGGCTCATGAGCAGTGTGTACATTTGTTCATACAACCCAAATTATTGCCACTGATCATAACTGAGAGTAGAATATTAATTTTTGGCTTGAAACGAGAACTGCTGATCAGAACAATTTGTTTAAAGAAACGTTGTATTTTATGAAGAATAACAAAAATTATCATATAATCAATAATAGCGACAATGCACTTGCAACGTATTCAGCTTACAATTCATAGTCCTTGATATGAATTAGATTTGTTCGGCTACAATCACTAAACAACTTCGGATTGATTCAATTTTCAAAAATTTCTATACGAAACGAACTGATAACGTTGCCATAAATGAAATTACTTACTACTACTACTACGCAATGAAGACCATGAAGAGGCGTTACTGTACGTTCCTCTAGCACTTTTACGAGCTCCCTTGAAAAATTCACTAGATGGACGCTTGCGGCTTTCCATTTCCAATCTCAAAATTAAATTCATTTCATTCATCCATTCGACGAATCTATTCGACATTTTCTATTTATTTAAACAATACGAAAATTTTGAGACGATTTCGATACAATCGTCAAAAAAAACCTGTTCAAACTATAACAAACTGTATTTTCAGCTAGTGCTTATCAGGGAGCGATCCCCGACAATGCTGCTCCCCAAGTTTTTGGTCGCCCCTCCTCCTCCCTCCCGGTCAATTCACTCCTTTCGGGTATTTCATCGAGGGGAGAGATTTTCTTCAATATTGCGAGGGGACCAACTGCTGGCCGACCCGCTTCCGACTCTTTTACGAGGTCCCCTAGCCAAAAAAAATGTTGCTCCCCGACCAACACTATTTTCATCCGCATCAAAACTGTTTGTTCTCAACATATTCATCGTTTATGCTGCTTTGACACAACAGAGATTTTCATGAAAAGGATTCGCTGAGTGAAACGAAAATGAATAAGCAGCACTAACGATTGACTGCGATGATCATAAGGTACCGGAACATTCGAGTCGAACTGATCTAGTGGATTGAAATTAGACTGTTGAAGGGATGGTGCTTTTTGAGATTTGTCAGCATTCAAGGGACAGAGGTTAGGCGATGATAACTGTTTGAGGATATCGATCAATGTTTTATCCAATTCGGAGGGCTCTCCAACTAATTCTGGATGTAAACAACTTCGGACAATGAATGCTTCAATACACGGACGCAATGCGACGATACGCGATGCATCCTTCACATTCATTCTCAATGGAATCCTTAAAGCATTTTTACTTTGACGATTAAGTCACCAGCTCAATAAATAGCTAAAATGTGCACCTTAACCGGACATATCATGGCATTAAAGTATTGTAACATAAATCGACAAAAAAAAAAGCAAATCGTTGAAATGCCACTAACATATCATCAAGCTTAACGAGTTCATCGCCGTGTGCTTCAACCTTTCGACTTCCAAATAAAAGTAACTGTATTGGTGTTATATTTGACAGCTGTTTGCATGCGATCACTTTTGTNATCTGTGGTGCAGACACCTTAGATGCATTAGGACGCTATTGCTTCATCTGGTACGAGAAAAATTTCGAAAATTTACTTTTTCTTCGATTCATTATCACGTCGGATGGCTTTGAGATGAACGCAAGGCAGTGGTGATGTGATATAATCATGATAAAAGTAATAAATACAGAGCATGAAAAACCTTTTCAGAGAAAACAAAAAGCGGTGATGGAAATGGTATGGCCTCAGAGTTATGAAACGGAGTGTTCACAGATTGTTTACTCATCAATGCAGTTGCTAATTCCATTGTATATACGCGTCGTTTATCCCGCAGATGACAAACATTTGGATAATACGCTTAAAAACATTACGTAACGTATATTTTTTTGTCCACCTTTTCAATAACATCGTCAGTGGCGTAGGCAGGAATTTTTGCAAGGGAACGGCGCAAATAATCTCGTTCAGCCTTCAGAATTTGTGCCAACACTTACTTCTCCTCCTCCACATGTACCAGTCGAGCTGCA